GGGCGCGTCTGCCTCATTCCCGCCCTCAGCCCAGTGACGACAAGGCTGCAGTCAGAGTGCCGCCTTGCAGGCAAGTTACCAGTGGAGCTCTTCTGGGCCCCCCGGGGATAGGCTTGTCTGGAAAGGCTTAGGTGCACCCCTGTCTGCAAAGCAGGGGGCCAGTGTGGGGGGGGATACCGTGGCCTCCGGCACCCGAGGAGATAAGGGTGAGGGGCTCGAAGGGGTGATGAGGAATGCTCTAGCCCTCCGGATGCCCGACATAGTGTGACGGGGGGCGGCCAGGGAGACAGGGGGAGGGTCGGAGGGAGGGGACGGGGATGGGCTGCGTCGCCTCTGAGTGATGCAGGGGACAGACTGATATCTTTGGTTCGCACAGCATCTGGCCGCCTCAGCTCCGTAACGAACTTCTTTGCATCAAGCCACACTTCAATGACGTTGTTGAGGAGGGCGAACACCGGCGCCAGAGGAAAGGAGGCCACAAAGAGGGTGACAAAACCAAACTGGATGACTAAGAGAAAGAAGAGCACAAGAGGCAGAAGGATTTAGACGTATGTTTGCCTTGCAGCTCTAGCCCCTGTCCTTTCTGACCGGGCACTCTTGTCCACCTTGGGCTCAGGCTCCCTTTCCGTCCTGCCCCACGGTAGGGGCCTTCCTTTCTCAGCACCCACAGGCCTGGCAGTCAGTGCCATCACGTAGGTGCAAAGCTCTATTTAGCTGAGAAGACACGAGAAAAGGAAAAGTCTCCATCCCTGCCTTTCCACTACCTTTTACCTCCAGTCACTAACCCTCTGGTCATTGAACCCAGAGGTTAACAAGCTTCTGCAGCAAAGGTCCGGATGGCAAATACTTTTTCTTAAATTGAACTTTAGTCAATTTACAAATATGTTGTGTTAGTTTTAGGCGTACAGCAAAGTGATTCAAACTGAATCATATATATATATATATATATATATATATATATATATATATATGTATACATATGCATCTTCTTATATACATATAATTTTCAGATTCTTTTCCATTATAGGTTTGTTTTTTTTTAGATGTTGGGGGTAGGAGTTTATTAATTAATTTATTTCTTTTTGGCTGTGTCGGGTCTTCGTTTCTACGCGAGGGCTTTCTCCAGTTGCGGAGAGCGGGGGCCACTCTTCATCGCGGTGCGCGGGCCTCTCACTGTCGCGGAGCACAGGCTCCAGACGCGCAGGCTCAATAGTTGTGGCTCACGGGCCCAGTTGCTCCGCGGCATGTGGGATCCTCCCAGACCAGGGCTCGAACCCGTGTCCCCTGCATTAGCAGGCAGATTCTCAACCACTGTGCCACCAGGGAAGCCCCCATTATAAGATTTTTTAAATGTTGTGTCCATTATAAGTTACTATAAGATATTTCTGTGTCTGTGAGGCTGTTTCTGTCTTACAAATAAGTTTATTTGTATTATTGTTTAGATTCCACATGTAAGTCATATCATATGGTATTTATCTTTCTCTGTCTGACTCACTTCACTTAGTATGATCATATCTAGGTCCATCCACGTTGTTGCCAGTGGCGATATTTCATCCTTTTTCATGGCTGAGCAGACGGTAACTATTTTTGTATGGTCCTGTCATAATGACCTAACTCTGCCATTGCACAGTGAGAGCAGCTGTAGACAAATGTAGACCAGCAGGCTTGGTTGGGTTCCAATAAAACTTTATTTACAAAAGCAGTAAATAAAGTGGGCTGGATTTGTTTGCCAAGCCCTGATGTAACTTCAAAACCATCTCCCAAAGTTGGCCTCTCCTTCCCCTATCCACAGTCGCTGCCTTTATTTAGAAGGTGGATTCATTCATCACACATGTACCGAGAGCTCCCTGAATGTCAGGCACTGTGCAAAGTCTTTAAGGAGGCAAAGGTCTGGACCCACCTACAAGGACCTGCCTTCAAGGACCCGCCTTCAAGGAGCCTTCAAGAGAGAGGAATATACAAAGATGTGCAAGGAGACTTCACGTGTGCCAAGAGAGAAGGGAGGATGTACCAGACAAAGCGGAGACTGCAAGGAGAGAGCTCGAGCCTGCTCGGCGTGGGGACTAAGGGGAGTCTCCAGAAGGACACCTAAGCTTAGACTTGAAGGATGGGCCTGTCACTGCAGGCAGACTGCATCACAGACTGCATCCAAGTCCCGGAAGCAGTGCGGGCAGAGGAGTGGAGGCGGCCTGTGCCAATCAGACGGCGTAAGGAGTCCAGGCCCCCATCGTTTCTACCTGGACAACTGCAACCACCTCCTACCTGGTTTCCTCGTGACCGATCTGCCCACCCTTCTACGTCTGTTCAGCCCCAAGCGCCCAGTAATCCCATCCCGTCACTTAACCTACTCACAAGCATTTCAGCTGGCTCCCCTCTGTTTACTGCATAGAATCCAGATTCCTTATCTTGGGACACAGGGACTGGACCATCTGCACCCAAGCTACCTCTCTAGCCCCGCCTCCCAGAATCTCCCCACAACCATCATGCTTCTGCCTTCCCGGACTCCGAGCTTCTCACCGTTCGGATTTCTCCCCAGACACGTTAGCTCCTTCCCTTCCATGGCACACAAGGGAAGGAGCTAGCAAACTCCTATGCATCCCCAAGAACAGTCAAATGCCATCTCCTTGGTGAAGCCTGTTACCCCCTCCACTCCTTCCCCACCCTCTGCTACAGCCGCCATTGTGCCGCGCTGTGATCATCTACCCACATGCCTTCATTTCCCACTAGAAAGGCAGGGCTCCATTCCTTGTAGGGGCTCAGTACTGATTTGCTGATGCAAAGTCAGACCTGAGTCTCAGGAAAGTCATTCTAATAGGATTTCCCTACTTATTAAGGCAAGTTATTTAACTTCTCCGCATCTTAGTCACTCCAGTTATAAACAGAGGATAATAACAGTACCCACCAAATAGGCTGACAAAAGGGTAAATGATATTGCGTACATAAAGTGCTCAAAACGGTGTCTGCCATTTAATAACTGCTCAGTAATGTTACCTGTTATGTGTACTGTTACTCTTATTGGAGTGCAGATGGCTGCAATGTATCCTGCGTATGGACCCCTTAGACACACCGTTTAAGTTGCAAACCCCGAAGGAGAGTCAGGAGGCCCGACTTCGCGCCCCGGATATGTTTCTCACCAGCCCGAGGTCCCGGGGCAATTCTGTTTCACTGGGCTCCAGCACCCTCATCTTTAAGTTGAGGAGACCGGTTTAAATTCCCTTCAGGTCTGATTTGCTGTGATGCTGTAATTCTTATTCTCTTGGACAGATGTCAAGATTCTAGGATATCCAAGTAAAGAATGAAAGACCAGCATCCAAACTTAAAATAAGTTAATGAAATGAAGTGAAATGAAATGAAAAGTGTTCACAGAGGGATAAGCTTAACCACAGCAGCAAGTTCAAGACACAGAGCATATGCACAGAACTTCACCCAGCACAACGGCTTCTGGTTTGGCCCAGGGTTGAGGGCTACGGCTCCTGCTAACTCAGCTCTATCACAGCCACGGCCCTGGATGCCCAGTGGATTCTCGGCAGGCCCTACGAGACCAGCAGCTGCCAGCTGGTGACAAGATGTATGAGAAGGTACAGATTTATCAAGGCCGGGTCCTTGGAATGACCGCCTGGCTAGCTAGCTGGCCGAAGGGGAGAAGAAATCTTCCCAAACAAGCGTGGGAGCCAGTTCAAGACGCAGGGTCTATCACGTCTCTTAAAGGAGGCTTTGCTGAGTCAGGGGTGGGGCCAGGGCAGTCGGGGGTGGAGGGGGATGGAGGGGGATGGAATTAACAAGGAAAGCAAAACAGATGTTAGACTAGTTTTGTGAAACCTGTAAAATGCATGTCCTTATTTAAGTATATGGATGAACCTATCTTTAGTTCTGGAGTTCCAAGTTGGTCTTCTTGACTCTGATGAGCTCAGGTCTACAGAGCAAATGTTCTTCTTACAGGTGACTTCCTCCAGCAGAACTGTTTATACTCTCCAAAGCCCCCACGAGGACTTAGCAAGGGGACTGATGGGGCAGGGAAGAGGCAAGTTACCTCCGAGTGCCTACAAATAGATACGGCATACCCTCTCCACACTCATGCAAACGGCACTCAGAAATCCAATGTCCTTCCAGGATCGTAGGGAAAAACAGGACTCTCCACTTCCTCAGCTTCCCTTCACATGAGCTGCAAAGGCAGATATGAACCCTCTCCTCTGAGGCTGCCCTGACGGTTTGCTTCACCTTCACAAACTCTCCATCACAGGGTCCCTCGTCTGTCCACACAACTTCCAGTGGTGACTCGACGCTAATAGTGCCCATAAGTGATCCCAACATCATAACATGTCTCTTTTTTGTTTGTTTGTTTGTTTGTTTTGGTACGCGGGCCTCTCACTGTTGTGGCCTCTCCCGTTGCGGAGCACAGGCTCCGGACGCGCAGGCTCAGCGGCCATGGCTCACGGGCCCAGCCGCTCCGCGGCACGTGGGATGTCCCCGGACCGGGGCACGAACCCGCGTCCCCTGCGTCGGCAGGCGGACTCTCAACCACCGCGCCACCGGGGAAGCCCCATAACATGTCTCTTCTCTTTCCTCTTCCAGGCACGTCTGTGTGTTCAGCACCAGACAACTTTAAGAGCGTGGACTCAGCAAAGGCCAGTGATGGCCACAGTCCTGTGCCTCTTCTGATGTTACTATAGGGTATCCTGGGCCAAGAGAAACCACCCTCTGAAGATGTCCCATTGCTGCAGGTGTTGCCTGCTTGGACTCGGTACACTGCCTACTTCCAGGAATCAACCCAAAGAGGCAGAAACAAAGAGGAAGCTTTGTTTCATCTTGGGGAGAAAAAAACAAAAAACCATAAACCTCTGGCATACAAATGTCAACTCCAAGACGTGCTTTTTTTTGGCCAAAGGTCTAAATGCTGTATCAGATGGGCGTCCTTCCGAGGTCATTTCAGAGGACACAATGATATCAGCCTTCACCAACACCAAGCCTGGCTTCTAAAAATAGCCAGCCTCCAAGAGGCTGACAGCAAGGCCGGAAATCCTCACTGTGCTGCATAATACAAGCCAGCTTGGCTCGACCAATAACAGATTAAACCTGGCCAAGCCAATTAGGGAGGAATTCGTAAGTTGATTTTCAACTAAGTCTTTACAAAGCCTGCTGTAAAGTGCCCCAGAAATATGGAGCTGAAAGCATGAAGACTGGAAACCCTCATAGGCACAAACCCCACTGGGTTTTCTCTTCTCAATCCCCAGCCAGCCAGGCTCCTTTTAAAATATGCAACTATCAGTCCTGTGCTGCCTGCTGCCAGAGGCAATTAAGATCCTGGCCTTGATTACCTGGGCTTAGGTTAAAATAACGAAGAGGAGTGGATTACACTCAACAAGATGGCATGCAGAAAGGACATTCCAGGACAATCTGCTTAAAGAAGAAAGTAATGTATCAGGTGGGATAGAGTGGACTGGCCAGGATTGGTGGAAAAGCTCTTGATGGGACACAATTTGTTATTCAGTTATTTAAATTCTTCGGTAA